CCCCGCGCCCCCCCCCCCCATTCCTCCACTCAGCGCGGGAGGATCCGAGTAGGGGAATCCCTGCAGGGAGCCGTGACTGACAGTCACGGCTCTCTGCAGGGACATGATCGAGAAGTGAGCGAGCAACAGTACGCTCACTTCACAATCTATTGAGCCGACGCATTTCATTGTCACACGTTGGCTCGAACTATGAGGAGGAGTGATTTTCACTCACCTCATAGTTCTCCTTTAACTTTGCATAGAATACCCAATCACGAATAAGGGGGGAATAAAACCCAGTATATTTGCTTGCACCTGATTGGATGATGGAAATCAGTAAAGTTTGATCTTATTCACTAAGCTAAGGGAAACATCCCTTGAAAAGTGGACAGCCTGTTGAACTTTATCAAATCAACCACGTTGTGTCCTAATGTTTATACATTGCATTTCTATAATAGTGTATAGTGCTACTGAAGTATCTCAGCGAGTTTACTTATCCTTAATCACGCTAAATGGTTTGTAAGAAAAAGTTTTTAGGATAAAAAAAAGGAGGCCAGTCTTTCGTGAATAGGTGAAATTTTAGAGGTTAATAGAATGATAGCTGTGTAGTAGCTTTATGATTAACTTCTATGGGTGAAACGTGCTGTGGTCGTTCATGTTATATGGCTGTTTATGATCCTTTAACTTGTTAATATATCTCCAAGCCTGGCTATGCTGTGTGTTATCAGTCTATTTTGTCAAGTCAAGTGACTAAAAGGCATGTTGGAGACCGAGCACCAACCTTGTGGTTGAGGTAAGCCAGTCTCCCAGGATTTGGGTTACGATGTCCCTTACCTAGGCTGTATAACTGTGCAGGTTGGTGAAGTAGTCCTTTGCACATAGAATTCCACACCTGTACAGTGCTGGCATGAAAAGCTCACTCTATAGGAGGAGATTGTATGGAGAGCTGGACTTATTTAAGTAAACTTAGCTGGAAACCAGCATGAAAATAAGTATGTGTGGGACAGCAACCAGCTATCTTTGCTGCCTTTGGAGATCATACTGTCATGACTGAGTAGACATGAATTTAAAAGATGTCAGATAGCCCTTAAGGCCTGAAGCGGGTTCTGGAAGTCAAGTATGGGTGATCCACATGAATCAGAGTGGGGTAGATACCTACGACTATTCGAAACTCATGCAGCATGTCCACAGTCTGATTATCTCCCACAATGTGTCTTGTCTATGACATGTGACTATGTCTGCTTTTTTCAAACTTTGAAGAATTTCTATGCTTATTTTATAGTGAATTCTGCTCAAGGGTGTGCTTTACTGCAAATGCCTAGTTAACATATTCATGTGGCAGGTATATACAACACCTTATCCACACAAACATGCTACTCCCAACACCAAACCTCTTTGTAGGTGTTGATGTTGATTTTTGTGTTGATGTTTAATTCCAACATACATACACAAGTGTTATATCCTCTGATCCTCATTGTCATGCCATTGCTGCATGTTTATTTGGCCATTTGTAGTAGCATTTTTTACCCAAAAAGAGAAAAATAAAATGCATATATTTTAGGTATACTGAAGGTGAAATAATGATATTGTAGTCTTACAGATTTAGTGCTGTACTTATAGTCAACAGTAGATCCATCGGCTTTCCTCTGTGGTTTTACAGAATAAGAGTTTGTTTTTGATGATTGTAATTGCTTTGACCATTGCAACCTACTTAGAAATAAATTCAATTCAGTGAGTCAAAACTTGTTGCTTTCCTGATGCACTCCAATTGTTGGTGTGTATATATATATATATATACATACATTTATTGTACCCTGTTGTGTTTGAACACAGTGTGACTGTGCAGTTATTTTCTTCATCAAATGCTATTGGTTTCTATTTCAATCCTGGTCATATACATATCTCCTTGGAAAACTATTTTTTTTTCTTCTTTTTTTGTGTTTGAAGGAGTGCATTACAAACACAAATTGGTCTGTCCCTGACTGTTTGCTGCTGCATACCATATAGAAATTAGTACGCCACCTACTTCAGCTGGGGCTCTTTACTCATAAATCTATATACAGACCTGTCACTCTTCCTTCCATGAGATAGAAGAATGAAGTAGAGGAGGGAATACATTTTATAGTTTATAGGTCACCGTATCACAGTAATCATAAAAAGACTTCACATGGCAAAAAAATACACCATTTCAAGGAAATCCAATGCAATGTCCCAAGAAAAGTATTAAATATTATTCAACAAAAAAATCCTCAGTTTCTAGTTTGAATTAGAACAAATGATGCCATCCACCAACAGATTACATCATACAAAAGTATGTCACACTTTGAGAAAGATCCAAGCATTTGAAGCAACAACAGCCGGTAGCAGATGTGTAGGAAAATCTCTAGTAAGAGAAATATAGAGGCTGTAAATGCTGACACCCAATACCCTTCTTAAAAAAGAAAAGGTCAATTGCTTTGTCTGGAAATATGGTAGGCCATTTCATAGGTTTCCCAGATACTCACCTAAGGTAGCAGGGCCGCCATTAGAATTAATTAATTTTACAGCCTGCCTGACAGGGTCCCCTTACAGTGTCTCCCCAGACACTACCCCAACACTATGAACCTTCTGCATCACCTGCACTCTCCATTCCTTGTGATATGCTATATTTTAGTGAATTGCATCACTGGATACTTAAATGGTTGTAATCTAGGCTATGGCATCTGGATGATTTTACGGTGGTAAAACACAATGCTGTCAGCACAAATAATTAATTAATAATTATCATTAAAGTGACACTAAACCCAGGAATTAAAAATGCATTCAAGTACCTTAACTATTAACAACAAATGTATTGTATTTGTGTATCACTCGGCTGTAGATCCTCAGATCATCTCTGAATTGGTGCTGACACTGTCCTTCCTTCTGGAGGGTGGCTACTTTTGTTCCCCATGGACCCTGTGTGGGTTGTAAAGTCCAAGCTCACTCCCATGAAGGACTACAATCTCACATTTACTAATCTGTATTGGAATTATAGTACATCAGGGGAGCGAGCTTGGATCGGTGGCTACTTTAAAAGATAAGCTACATTTTTGTTAACGGTTAAGGTACTTGAATTAAGATTTAACTCCTGTGTTTAGTGTCACTTTAAGCTTCTGTTACCAAATAAGTGCAACACAATTCACAGTTTTGCCTTAGGCTCAGCTCACAAAGCTTTAATGTCAAAAGTAAATGCAGTTATATGAAAACACTTATGGTAATCTTTTGGGTACATACTTTATTACAGTCAAGTAATTTCTGCTGCTCTGCCACTGAGAACTACATTGTTGTTGTGACATGTTTTAAACATCTTGCATATCTAATATGTTTTAAACTCCATTATATGTTATAGCTCTTAAAAATGTATTCCATCTCTAAAAAAATTTACTTTCTCTTGTAGCTTGATAACCATACACTACAATGATGATAAAATACCTGAAGATTGTGATCTTTGTGCTGATTTTTACAGTTGTCGGTTTTGTCTACCGAATGGTCTTAAAGGAAACAAGCAAAAGCTATATCTCTTTCCTATCACAAAAAGAGATCTTTAAGACTTTAAAGTCAAAACTGATATCATTTAAGGAAGATGGTAGAACATCTTGGAACAATAGTGATGATTTGTTTAATATGACCACAGACGCAGCATCAGCAATGGAATCCATGACAACAACAACATCATCATCATCATTATCGTCATCATTATCATCTACATCATCATCACCAAGAACAGCAACACCACTATCAAGTGCTTCCTCGGGTCATTTAAACCCATCGGATATTTTAAGAGTAGGCAACTGTATCATATTTGTGGAGACCACAGACAGGATGCAACCACCTTCATTGGTGTTATGTGCCATTGAATCAGCAGCCCGAGTATACAAGGACAGACCGGTGGTCTACTTCATGAAAGGACTAACCGAGGCAAACTCAGATGCAGTCAAAAACAAATACTTCCCGAACTTCATACCTTTTAACAATGTTTACTTCTTCCCTCTGAGAATGGAGGAAGTATTTGCAGAAACAGCACTTCTTTCCTGGTATAAAAAGGTAAGTTGTTTGGTAGACTATTTCTAAGAAGCAGGTGACAATAGACGACAATTCATACATCATTGTTTCCCATGCTTTAGAATGTGTTAAAGGAGAACTATGGGGTTAAGGCTTTTCCCCACAGTTCTCCTTAGGGTAACGGGAGGACACAAACTAGCGTCCTCCCGTCACCCCAAGCTCAGTATACCGCAAGCTACAGCTCGCGGTATACTGAGACGCCACAGTATACCGCAAGCTACTGCTCGCGGTATACTGAGACGCCGCAGCTGAAGCGGATCCCAACAATTATGTCTGGATCCACCTAGCTGCGTGAGTGACAGCTGGCTCTGGCTATCTAGATGCAGAGCCAGCTGTACCCGCCCCCTCCCCCGACCGATCTGTCAGTCAGCGCTGGTGGATCGGGGAGGGGGGAATCCGGCAGAGAGCTGTTGCAGGATTGAGAGGTGAGCGAACGTAGGTATGTGTTCGCTCACTTACGATCTACTGAGCCGACCTGTGATTGTCACAGGTTGGCTAGAACTATGAGGTGAATGAAAAGCACTCACCTCATAGTTCTCCTTTAACTAGAGCTATGGATTCTTAATAACCAATAGCAAAGGAAACTCTTTACATAGAGATGATGGGGTTCATGAACTAAAAACAGATAGGCTGTTCAATTTAAAACGGAATGTTCCCTAGCCTTTAATAAATTAACCCAGATGTATCAAATGCCCTTCCAACAAACTGCAATAGGGATCAGAGAAATTACGAGCTTTCATTCACCCATCATTTTCATGAAAATTGTGACATTTAGGCAAATTTTTTCACTTTGACAAGATGCACTGAAGCAAAATTAAGGTAACTTTTGGTGGTTTTCAATGGTACAGTGGACTTTGAACGGCTCCTGAGGGTTACAGAAGCTTCTTTAAAGTGACACCAAACTCAGGAGTTCGATCTTAAAAATGCTTTCAAGTATTCAACTATTAAACTATTAACAAAATGTATCTTATTTGTGTATCACTCGGCGGTAGATCCTCAAATCATCTCTGAATTGGTGCTGACACTGTCCTTCCTTCTGGGGGGTGGCTACTTTTGTTCCCCATGGACCCTGTGTGGGTTGTAAAGTAGGCACCGCTCCAAGCTCACTCCCATGATGGACTATAATCTCATGTTTAGTTAGATAATTTGTATTGACTTTGTATTGCTGTTATTATCTATCACAGGAGCAAGGTTGGAGCGGTGGCTACTTTACAACTCACACAAGAACCACAGGGAACAAAAGTAGCCACCCTCCAGAAGGAAGGACAGTGTCAACACCAATTCAGAGATGATTTGAGGATCTACAGCTAAGTGATACACATATAAGATACATTTTTGTTAAACGTTAAGATACTTGAATGCATTTTTAAGATTTAACTCCTCAGTTTAGTGTCAATTTAACTGTCTTAGACCTCCTCTTGGGTCAAAAACATCCTTCATTAGCCTCATTATTTTACATTTTTTGGACAGAAAAGAAAAAAATTCAGAGATGATTTTTTAGATCTACAGCTGAGTGATACACAAATAGGATATATTTGTTTTAATAGTTAAAATACTTGAGTGCATGTTAAAGATTGAACTCCTGAGTTGATAGTCACTTTAAATAATACTAGGGATGCACCGATACCGATACAAGCATCGGTATCGGCGGCGATACCGAGTATTTGCATGAGTACTCGTACTCATGCAAATACTCTGATACAAAAAACGAGTACCTGTGCCGTGTCCGCCATCTTCAGGGACCCGAAACCGCCGCACACAGGACCTCCATCGCATCATCATGAAACAAGATGGCCGCCTACTCCTTCTCCAAGTCCTCAGTCATCTGCTCCATTCTGACCTCTTCTCCCGCTGATTGGCCGATTGGATGATTGACAGGCTTCCTCACCAGTCAGGAGTGACTGGTGAGGAAGCCTGTCATCATCCAATCGGCCAATCAGCGGGAGAAGAGGTCAGAATGGAGCAGATGACTAGGCTGTGACACGGAGTGGCTGAAGCAGACGGAGAAGACGACACGACACAGCAGGTTAGTACTGCAGCACTGCATGGGGGCTGGGCACAAAAATGCTGTTTAACTACATATAATATTTAAAAATAAAGAAATAACTATGTAGATATTGCTAACTTAGGCTTGTATCCCCCTAGTGGGGAAAATAGATGAGCACATGTCCAAACTCCAGACCAGAACATTGTATAGTGTGGCACAGCTATATCCAATTCTGCATACCTGGCTTTATATTATAAAACCATTTAACAATAATCTAAAGCCAGTTATACAGAATTGGATATATATCTGTGCCACACTATACAGTGTTCTGGAGTCTGGACATGTGCTCATCTATTTTCCCCACTAGGGGGATACAAGCCTTAGTTAGCAATAGCATGATCTAAATATTCATTTCATTATTCAATGTCTTTTTTTATATTATACATTTTATAATATTAAAAAAAAGACATTGAATAATGAAATGAAATGAATATTTAGATCATGCCATTGCTAACTAAGGCTTGTACCCCCCTAGTGGGGAAAATAGATGAGCGCATGTCCAGACTCCAGAACAGTGTACTATTGTATAGTGTGGCACAGCTATATCCAATTCTGCATACCTGGCTTTATATTATAAAGTTCTTATAATATAAAGCCAGGTATGCAGAATTGGTTATAGCTGTGCCACACTATACAGTGTTCTGGTCTGGAGTCTCTACTTGTGCTCATCTATTTTCCCCACTATGGGGTAATAAGCCTTAGTTAGCAATGGCATGATAAATATTAATTTCATGTTCATTTCATGTTCATGTTCTTCATAATATTAAGAAACTGACTTAAAATCATGATTTTGTATTGCTTTAGAAAAAATGTGACATCTCCCTTTAAGAAAAAGTATCGGTCATTGGTATCGGTGAGCACTTGAAAAAAAGTATTGGTACTCGTACTCGGTCTTAAAAAAGTGGTATCAGGTGCATCCATAAATAATACAGTAACATTCATATATACTGACTTTACATTGCCACAATTCGATGAAATTAAACAGAAGGGAATTCTGACAAGCTGCAACCATACTAAGTATTTCATACTTGTTATGACCACCCCCAGTTTTAAAAAAAATAGGAGAGGAATGGACTGGGCATATATATTTTATGTAATAAAAATATTGTGGCAGTGTAAGCCAATGCCACGGTGTAGGATGGCGACTTTGGCACCCAGGACTCTCAGCCAGAGGGGCTGAGAGGGTCCAGAAGTAAAGCATGTTATAAGGAAGAACCTGGCTTTTCAGGTCCGTCCAGGTTTTCCTATTTGTAGCTGGGATCTGGAGCTCTGGAGATTTCGTAGAGCTCTGGGTGGGATGAGATCTCCAGTCCTGGGGCCAGGTGTTGCCAATGACCAGCCTGGGCTAATCAGGTGGCTGAGAGCAGCCTTATCAGGAAGCCAGCCCAGTGCTCAGAGGAGTGTTGGAGTTGTGTGTGTGCAGGGAGCACACGGACACAGACAAACTCGGGTGCGTGCTGGATGCACACGGAACAGCCAGGGTGGCTGGGAGAGGTCAGGAAGGTCGGTGACCCTAGGACATGTTTTACAGACTGCTAAGAGAGCAGAGTGAGTGCCCACGAGGGGAGAGGTCAGGAAGGTCGGTGACCCTAGGACCTGTGGTACAGACTGCTAAGAGAGCAGCGTGAGTGTCTTGGAGCTGTGGAAAGCTACCGAGCCATATAAAAGACTGTCTTATGTTGCTGCCGCAAGCTATTTTGTGTTTGCCCTTTAATAAACTGCATTATACTTGACTTACCTGGACTACAGTGGAGTGTCCTTGTTACAATATATATTATAATTAGGGATGCACTGATACCAGTTTTTCGGTATCGAGTACGAGTACCGATACTTTGCTTTTGGTACCCGTCAATACAGAGTACTAATACCGGTGCTTCCACTGCCATGGAGCCGACTTCCCGACAACTCCATGTTGTCTGGCCGGCTTCTGATTGTGCTTGGCCAGGAAATTGGCTTGCCAGCCAATCAGCATCGAGCCGGAGTAATTAAAAAAAGTTAGTTAAAATTTAAAAAATTTGAAATTTAAAAAAAGTCCCGCAGCACGCCAACTTGTCCGAAAAAGACGAATACTCGCCAGAAAATGACAGCTCCGGCCCGATTGTAAACAAATGGGCGGAGCGAGCACGGTGAGATTCTGAGCTGTCATATGAAACAATAGCACTTTTTTTTTTTATTTGGGGAGGGGGGTCCCTCCTAACATTCCTACCAGACCTAAAAGGACTGGTATGAATTGTGGTGAACCTCATGGCTTTTTTGTTTTTCTTTTTTCTGCGGACTGTAAACATTTTTTTATTTTTTTTTCCTTTTGGTCTAATGTCACTTTGCTGCAACTAAAATTTGTTGATAAAAAAAATTCGTACATACTACCGCTAATGAAAATTCAGATTTTGTCAGAATCCCGAAATGAATTGACTTTCGAGCCAGAATCTCAAAAAAATTAAATAACGTTTTTTGCCGGCGCACATGTCTAATTATTACAATTCATTGGCATAAAATGCACTGCTGGGGTATACATCAAGAGTAAAGATAAAATGATGAAATATACACTAAAAGCTTTCCCAATTTTTTACAGAAATTACATTTAATTATTACAGGTATTTATATAGCGCCTACAAATTATGCAACACTTTTGCATAGCGTACATTCACATCAGTCCCTGCCCTCATGGAGCTTACAATCTAAGGTCCCTATATCCCATGCATACATACAGGGCCGATTTAGACAGGAGCCAATTTAACTTCCAGCATGTCCTTGGAGTGTGTAAGGAAACCGGAGTACCCGGAACACATGTATTCTCCACACTCCCCCATGTTTGTTGTAATTGTATAATAGCTGTCAAAGAGGGACAGCAGATTAGCCACAACAGTCATGCTTACCAGTGGAATTTTATCTAAATCTTTTAAGGTTCAATACTAAAAATGTGTTGTCTCTTCCACCTAAGTGCCTTTAAATTATATTTACAGGTTGACCCATCGCGGGAAGTATATTGGACTCATGTTAGTGCTGATGGATGCAGACTGGCTCTGATCTGGAGGTATGGTGGCATCTATATGGATTCTGACATTATCTCAATGCGGCAGATACCAAATCATAATTTTCTGGCTGCAGAATCCAATCGGGTTTCCAGTAATGGTGTTATTGGGTTCTCTTCCCATCATGACTTTACATGGAAGAGCATGGAAGATTTTGTTCGCAATTATCAAGGTGCAGTATGGGGATTTCAAGGGCCCTCACTCTTTACACGTATTTTAAAGACATTCTGTAGCATCCCTGCATTTACTGCTGTGAAGGATGTTAGATGCGGAAACATTACATTTTTGCACCCTCAACGTTTCTATCCTATTCCCTACCCAGCGTGGAGACGATACTATGAGGTCTGGGCTAAAGAGCCGACCTTTGATAATTCCTATGCTTTGCATCTCTGGAATTACATGAATCGTAATGAGCGTAGGGATATGGTACCTGGGAGCAATTCATTGGTGGAACATATCTATCAGAAGTATTGTCCTTCCACATATAGTGATTTGGCTGAAAATAAGACTACATCTTAAATCATCATTATTTTTCACTGTTTGCTGTCAGGGGAGGAAAGGATATGTATACTGAAGGTCTTATTCAGACAAGCTACAGTGATAGGATGGATTAGTAGATGTATTAGTAGAAAGAAGGATAGATAGATAGATAGATAGATAGATAGATAGATAGATAGATAGATAGATAGATAGATAGATAGATAGATAGATAGAATTGACTGGGTGTGCAGGCACAATGAGGTGGATAGTCTTTTTTTAAAACACATAAGTTACCCAACATACCAAGTGTACTGAAACAAAGTCTTGGTTAGAGTCTGGTAAACATGCAAAAAGGCACCTTAGGTTGTTAGGGGTGTCTGGCCACACTTCTGCTACTCCCCATCACTACATAAACATGGACACTTAGAATGAATGTTCTGTCAGATGTAATTCAAGTAGATCCCATTGCACTCCTGACTGGATATAACCCAAGATAATGGGTGGGTGCTGAGATGACAGCAGAAGCCTCTGCAGATCAGTATCATGTAGTGGAAAAGTCACTCGCACTCCAATGAGAATTTCAGTCAATGTTCTTTATTGACAAAAGAATTGTCACAACGTAGAGCTTACAATGTGACAACTCTTTTGTCAATAAAGAATGTTGACTGAAATTCTCATTGGAGTGCGAGTGACTTTTCTACTACGTGTTCTGTCAGATGTTCTCACTCTACTGCAAAAATGTTTTCATTGCTGTCTTTGTTCATGTTGAGAAGATCTAACTACATGTTGTCAATGTCAACACAGAGGAGATTTCTAGCTACTTCCTTTCTGTCATCTGGACAGGAAGTAAGAGAAGGTCTACCTCACAGAGACAAATACATTACCAGAGAATTTATAGAAGTTCTAAACCTTCTTATCGAGCTGTCTGTGTCAATGTTGGGTAGATTTCCTTCTCATTCATTTCTCCCGTTAAAAGGTCAGAAATTAGAAGACATTTTAATGTTAATAGATAAAGCAATAACAAATTACAGAAGTACTAACCTTTCCCCACTCTATCCACACAAAAACGTTTGCCTATACTTGGGCGTTAAAGAGCAGTTAGAGCAGTTTGGGTCTGGAACTCGCTGCCACAAACAGTAGTATCAGCCGAGAGAGTTGAATCATTCATAAAGCATTTGGACAACTTCCTCAGAGACCACAACTTACACGGGTACAGGTACTCTTAAAAACAAGAACACACAGGGACTCGTACACATGCAGACAGATGCAGAATTACATACATACACACAATAGGTTGAACTTGATGGACCTGTGTCTTTATTCAACCTCAAATACTATGTAAATATGTAACTATAGTCTAGAAAAAGTGAACAGGTGCATAGAGCAACACCGACTAACTGGAAGAACAAGAAGAATGTTAAGGTGTATGGCCTTCCCTAGGGAAAGATCTATTGCTGTGTGCTCCTTGATCATTCTTTTGCTTGCTTCTCCATCTGCTTTGTCAGTCAGAACTGTGGGTTGCTTGTGAGAGGTGCATGGATACATGTCCAGTATTACGGCTCATCATGATGTGCCAGTTATAATGGTCAGTGCCATGCATTATGTTCATCATAAAATATCTTGCTGATGCAAGGCAAAATGACACCTTCTACTCACCTTACCAGCATTCCTCCCTATTCTTCCTCTGTCACCACTTGCTGCTTCTCGGTACCTGGAAGCATGTGACTTCTTCCCCTGGGAGAGTGCTCAGGCATAGCAGCCAATTGCTAGGCCTGATCACTGTCACATTACCAAAGGAGAGACAACTCCACTCCCTCTAGTCACTGATTCTATTTCCTCCTGCAGCAAAGGAAGGAGTGGCAAGGGAGACAAGGCAAGGCGAGTATAAGGGGGTCAATGGGGATCCTTTGCAGGGGCCTGTTATTTTTTATTCTGCATGGGCAAGGTGACAGTGTTTCTTGAAGTACATCTAGATCTTGAGTCAGCCATTGCTTTTGGGTCATAATGGTTGTTGATTTCTCCAACATGTTGTCACAGAAAGGCACTTTAACATATTTATTCTCAGCTGTAAAATGAATTTTAACTGTAATCAAGATTGTCAGTTTGTTGTTCATTTTTATAATATTTTTCAATAAAGAAGTTTTTCTTTTTAAAATATGTTGTTTATTTACATCATTACTATAAACTAAGTCACTGCAATTTTGTAATTAATGGTTAATTTATTTTAATGAATCATTGATAAAAGCAATCCTAGCAAAACATGACCATAGTACTAATGGTTGTAGAAAGCTAAACAGCGCAAAAATGAGTTTCAATACCCAAAATATACCTTTCATGTAGTACTGGAAACCATGGGCCAAATGGTGTTTCCAGTTATTGCTTGTACCATCCCTTTATATAAGTAGTCCAGTGTATCTTTAGTAAATACAGCACATTTTTAGCTTTTAGTGTAACATTTTTTATTTTAACGTTTAACAACATAAATTCAGAATGACATTCAGGATACATTTCAAATGCACCCAAACTTTTCATTTTCAGAAAATTCGGATACATTCGGATTTATTATTTTTTCATTCGGAAATTCGGATGCATCTGAATGTCCGAATTTTAATTCAGAATGAAATGAATAGCACATGTCTAGTAAAAATAAATGTGGCAAAATGAACAACACATAAGAAATATAAAGTACTTTCCAAAGTAATCTCAGAGGCACTTCAAGATTATTTGTACATTCCAGTGATAGGGTTTTTCTTTAGGGCACCTTGCTTTTAGGTGTAAAATCTGATTTAATTAGTATGAACACACTTTTTGGCACTTCCAGTACATTGTCAAAAAAGTGATGAGCCGAACAGGCCCGAGATCAGTTCAAATTCGAACTTTAGAACATCCAAAAAGTTTGAATTCAAACTTAATGCAAGTCTATGGCCAGAGGCGTAACTAGAACCTTCAGGGCCCTGGTGCAAGAAACCATGAAGGCCCCCCCCCCCACGGTTACTAGTCATCATTTCATAATAAAAAGTTATAGCTTGGAGCCCGGCCACCTGGGCCCCTTACAACTTCAGTGGATGTACCCCCCTGATGGCGGCCTTGCAGGATAGGAGCGGTACAAACTCGGGGGCCCCCTTCTTCCTTGCTGGGCCCCCCCAAGTGGCGGAATGCCAGGGCCCGGTCGCAATTGCGACCGCTGCGACCCTGGTAGTTCCGCCAGTGTCTATGGCGGTACTTTCAAAACCAATTGTCCTCTTTAAGAGGGCTTATATGCAAGTTATTGGCCATAGAAATTGTATGGGGATCCAGGTACTGCCCTGGGGACAGGAATCAATGAAAACAAAACTTACAAAAAATAACGTTTTTAAAGGAGCAGTGATTTTAACATCTCTTAAAGGGTAACAATAACAATGAAAAATTCCTTTAAATATCATGCCTGGGGGTCCCCTTAACCTGCCTGTAAAGTGGCAAATCTATACAATGTATAGAACCTGCTGCAGCAAAACTGACATTTCTAAAGAAAGAAAAATACTAATTTTTTTATGTGCAGTTCCCCCTCCCAAACAATACCAGACCCTTTAGGTCTGGTAGGAATGTTAGGAGGGACCCCACTAAAAAAACAAATGTGTGTGGGATTCCCCCCTCAAAGTCATACCAGACCCTTAAGGTCTGGTAGGAATTTTAAGAAGGAAGCCCCCCAAAAAAATGTGGGGAAAAAATGTGGGTTCCCCCCTAAAATTCCATACCAGACCATTGATCTGAGCATATGCCTGGCAGGGCCTGAAAAGGGGGGGTGGAGGACAAGCGAGCCCCCCCCTCTCCCTCCCATACCAGGCCACATGCCCTCTGCACTGGAAGGATGCTTTTCCAGGGTCGCCCCTGGAAAAGCACCTTGTCCCCTGTGACGATGGGGACAAGGGCCTCTTCCCCAAAAGCCCTGGGGCGTTGGTTGTGGGGGTGCGGGCAGGGGGCTTTTTCACATCAGGGTACCCCTTTGAAAAAATCCTTTATTTAGGAAAAAAAAAACAAAAGACATGTTTTTGACAAGTCTTTTATTTAAAAAAAATTGATCCACCGATGTAATCCAGGGTTAATCACAACACCCAGCGTTGTCCATGACGACGACGACTCAACTAAATAAAAAATAAAGCAAAAACAATTAAATAGAAATAATCATTTTTAAAAAAACCTACTCGTACTAGTGAAAACTCCCCGATACTTAGTGTCGATACTGTTGCTTTAAATAGCCCTAGTGAGACCCTGTATAACCCTCCAAAGACTCCGCACAGCCACCTTAGACCCTGCACAGCCCACTTGAGAGTCCCCACAACCCACCTAAAAGCCCATACAGCCTCACGAGACGCTGCACAGCCTCCTGAGACCCCAAACAGCTGCAGATGCAGCAGTGCCGTCCGTCCGTTTTTTTACTACGGGCGGACGGCAAGAGGTTAAAGCCCGCACAGCCCACCTGATAGCTTGCATAGCCTCCTGCCCCTAAAGGACATATTTGCAGATTATGTCAGGAGCTAACCCTCACCAAAAAGTCTCCTTTAAAACTATGGTCTAATCCTAACATTAAACCCAGCACTTAAACTCAGTAAATCTTGACCCTGGCACTAACCTAACCCAATCCCTAACCTAATCTCTAACGCAGCTTCAACCCCTGCAGCAGCATGTTTACCGTTTCCAGGAGGGTAGCTGTCCACATGGAAAGCTTCCAGGTCCTACATTACAGGCCTGTTCACTCTAAACGCGATGACTAGTGTTTTTCAGCATCTGAAGAACGGCAGTCACTGCTAGGGCACATAGAAAACAATTGTTTTCAGATCACACAGGTGTGATCTGTGGTGCACCATGAAAACTATGTAGACATGCTGCACTGGACTGCACCAAATCACTGTACCACAGTGCAGTACACCGCACTGCTGTGCGGGGACATGAATGATGTGTACACTTTGAACATTACAAAAAAAGTTAAAGATAAAAGTAAACTGAGACAACTCATTAGACCACCCACTCACCAGAATTGTGAGAACAGGCTTGTCTTCTGT